CTGATAGTGCTATAAGCTGAATGTTTCACAGACTGATAGTGTTACAAGCTAAATGTTTTACATAGTGATGGTGTTAGAAGCTGAATGTTTTACAGACTGAAAGTGTAACAACCTGAACGTTTCACAGACTGCTTGTGTTACAAGCTGAATGTTTAACAGACTGATAGTGTAACAAGCTGAATGTTTTACAGACTGATAGTGTAACAAGCTGAATGTTTTACAGACTGATAGTGTAACAAGCTGAATATTTTACAGACTGATAGTGTAACAAGCTGAATGTTTAACAGACTGATAGTGTAACAAGCTGAATGTTTTACAGACTGATAGTGTAACAAGCTGAACGTTTTACAGACTCATAGTGTAACAAGCTGAATGTTTTATAGACTCATAGTGTAACAAGCTGAATGTTTTACAGACTCATAGTGTAACAAGCTGAATGTTTTACAGACTGATAGTGTAACAAGCTGAATGTTTTACAGACTCTTAGTGTAACAAACTGAACGTTTTACAGACCCATAATGTAACAAGCTGAATGTTTTACAGACTGATAGTGTAACAAGCTGAATATTTTACAGACTGATAGTGTAACAAGGTGAATGTTTAACAGACTGATAGTGTAACAAGCTGAACGTTTTACAGACTCATAGTGTAACAAGCTGAATGTTTAACTGACTGATAGTGTAACAAGCTGAATGTTTTACAGACTGATAGTGTAACAAGCTGAATGTTTAACAGACTGATAGTGTAACAAGCTGAATATTTTACAGACTGATAGTGTAACAAGCTGAATGTTTAACAGACTGATAGTGTAACAAGCTGAACGTTTTACAGACTCATAGTGTAACAAGCTGAATGTTTTACAGACCCATAGTGTAACAAGCTGAATGTTTTACAGACATAGTGTTACAAGCTGAACGTTTAACAGACTGATAGTGTAACAAGCTGAATATTTTACAGACTGCTAGTGTTACAACCTGAATGTTTTACAGACTGATAGTGTAACAAGCTGAATGTTTTTACAGACTGATAGTGTCACAAGCTGATTGTTTTACAGACTGAAAGGGTAAGAAGTTGAATGTTTTACAGACTGCTAGTGTTACAAGCTGAATGTTTTACAGACTGATAGTGCAACAAGGTGAATGTTTTACAGACTGATAGTTGCACAAGCTTAATGTTTAACTGACTGGTAGTGTAAACAACCTGAATGTTTTACAGACTGATAGTGTAACAAGCTGAATGTTTTACAGACTGATAGTGTAACAAGCTGAACGTTTTACAGACTGATAGTGTAACAAGCTGAATGTTTTATAGACTCATAGTGTAACAAGCTGAATGTTTTACAGACTCATAGTGTAACAAGCTGAATGTTTTACAGACTGATAGTGTAACAAGCTGAATGTTTTACAGACTCTTAGTGTAACAAACTGAACGTTTTACAGACCCATAATGTAACAAGCTGAATGTTTTACAGACTGATAGTGTAACAAGCTGAATATTTTACAGACTGATAGTGTAACAAGGTGAATGTTTAACAGACTGATAGTGTAACAAGCTGAACGTTTTACAGACTCATAGTGTAACAAGCTGAATGTTTAACTGACTGATAGTGTAACAAGCTGAATGTTTTACAGACTGATAGTGTAACAAGCTGAATATTTTACAGACTGATAGTGTAACAAGCTGAATGTTTAACAGACTGATAGTGTAACAAGCTGAATGTTTTACAGACTGATAGTGTAACAAGCTGAATGTTTAACAGACTGATAGTGTAACAAGCTGAACGTTTTACAGACTCATAGTGTAACAAGCTGAATGTTTTACAGACCCATAGTGTAACAAGCTGAATGTTTTACAGACATAGTGTTACAAGCTGAACGTTTAACAGACTGATAGTGTAACAAGCTGAATATTTTACAGACTGCTAGTGTTACAACCTGAATGTTTTACAGACTGATAGTGTAACAAGCTGAATGTTTTTACAGACTGATAGTGTCACAAGCTGATTGTTTTACAGACTGAAAGGGTAAGAAGCTGAATGTTTTACAGACTGCTAGTGTTACAAGCTGAATGTTTTACAGACTGATAGTGCAACAAGGTGAATGTTTTACAGACTGATAGTTGCACAAGCTTAATGTTTAACTGACTGGTAGTGTAAACAACCTGAATGTTTTACAGACTGATAGTATAACAAGTTGAATGTTTTACAGACTGCTAGTGTTACAAGCTGAATGTTTTACAGACTGATAGTGCAACAAGGTGAATGTTTTACAGACTGATAGTTGCACAAGCTTAATGTTTAACTGACTGATAGTGTTACAAGCTGAATGTTTACAGACTGATAGTGTAACAAGCTGAATGTTTTACAGACTGGTAGTGTAACAAGCTGAATGTTTTACAGATTCATAGTGTAACAATCTGAATGTTTTACAGACTGATAGTGTAACAAGCTGAATGTTTAACTGACTGATAGTGTTACAAGCTGAATGTTTTACAGACTGATAGTGTAACAAGCTAAATGTTTTACAGACTGATAGTGTAACAAGCTGAATATTTTACAGACTGATAGTGTAACAAGCTGAATGTTTAACAGACTGATAGTGTAACAAGCCGAATGTTTTACAGACTGATAGTGTTACAAACTGAATGGTTTACATACGGATGGTGCAACAAGCTGAATGTTTGACATACTGAATGTTTTATTACAGACTGATAGTGCTAGCAGCTGAATGTTTTACATACTGATAGTGTTGCAAGCTGAATGTTTTGCAGACTTACAGTTCTACAATCTGATAGTGTTAGACTGAGGGTGTTACAAGGTGATAGTGTTACACGCTGATTGTGTTACCGACTGCTAATATTACAGACTGAGGGTGTTACAAGGTGATAGTGTCACAGGCTTATTGTGTTACCGACTGCTAATATTACAGACTGGGGATGTTACAAGGTGGTAGTGTTACACGCTGATTGTGTTACCGACTGCTTATATTATAGACTGAGGGTGTTACAAGGTGATAGTGTCACAGGCTTATTGTGGTACGGACTGCTAATATTACAGACTGAGGGTGTTACAAGGTGAAAGTGTCACACGCTGATTGTGTTACCGACTGCTAATATTACAGACTGAGGGTGTTACAAGGTGATGGTGTCATACGCTGATTGTGTTACCGACTGCTAATATTACAGACTGAGGGTGTTACAAGGTGATAGTGTCATACGCTGATTGTGTTACCGACTGCTAATATTACAGACTGAGGGTGTTACAAGGTGGTAGTGTTATACGCTGATTGTGTTACCGACTGCTAATATTACAGACTGAGGGTGTTACAAGGTGATAATGTCATACGCTGATTGTGTTACCGACTGCTAATATTACAGACTGAGGGTGTTACAAGGTGGTAGTGTTACACGCTGAATGTGTTACCGACTGCTAATATTACAGACTGAGGGTGTTACAAGGTGATAGTGTCATACGCTTATTGTGTTACCGACTGCTAATATTACAGACTGAGGGTGTTACAAGGTGATAGTGTCACACGCTGATTGTGATACCGACTGCTAATATTACAGACTGAGCGTGTTACAAGGTGATAGTGTCATACGCTGATTGTGTTACCGACTGCTAATATTACAGACTGAGGGTGTTACAAGGTGATAGTGTCATACGCTGATTGTGTTACCGACTGCTAATATTACAGACTGAGGGTGTTACAAGGTGATAGTGTTACACGCTGATTGTGTTACCGACTGCTAATATTACAGACTGAGGGTGTTACAAGGTGATAGTGTCACAGGCTTATTGTGTTACCGACTGCTAATATTACAGACTGGGGATGTTACAAGGTGGTAGTGTTACACGCTGATTGTGTTTTTGACTGCTAATATTATAGACTGAGGGTGTTACAAGGTGATAGTGTCACAGGCTTATTGTGGTACGGACTGCTAATATTACAGACTGAGGGTGTTACAAGGTGATAGTGTCACACGCTGATTGTGTTACCGACTGCTAATATTACAGACTGAGGGTGTTACAAGGTGGTAGTGTTATACGTTGATTGTGTTACCGACTGCTAATATTACAGACTGAGGGTGTTACAAGGTGATAGTGTCATACGCTGATTGTGTTACCGACTGCTAATATTACAGACTGAGGGTGTTACAAGGTGATAGTGTCACACGCTGATTGTGATACCGACTGCTAATATTACAGACTGAGCGTGTTACAAGGTGATAGTGTCATACGCTGATTGTGTTACCGACTGCTAATATTACAGACTGAGGGTGTTACAAGGTGATAGTGTCATACGCTGATTGTGTTACCGACTGCTAATATTACAGACTGAGGGTGTTACAAGGTGATAGTGTGATACGCTGATTGTGTTACCGACTGCTAATATTACAGACTGAGGGTGTTACAAGGTGATAGTGTCATGCGCTGATTGTGTTACCGACTGCTAATATTACAGACTGAGGGTGTTACAAGGTGATAGTGTCATACGCTGATTGTGTTACCGACTGCTAATATTACAGACTGAGGATGTTACAAGGTGATAGTGTCACACGCTGATTGTGTTACCGACTGCTAATATTACAGACTGAGGGTGTTACAAGGTGATAGTGTCACACGCTGATTGTGTTACCGACTGCTAATATTACAGACTGAGGATGTTACAAGGTGATATTGTCATACGCTGATTGTGTTACCGACTGCTAATATTACAGACTGAGGCTGTTACAAGGTGATAGTGTCACACGCTGATTGTGTTACCGACTGCTAATATTACAGACTGAGGATGTTACAAGGTGATAGTTTCACAGGCTAATTGTGCTGCAACACGTTTTTTAATCTAATCCAGTCTGATATTTTACGTGACATATCTGATGTATACATACATCTTCATAATGAGATGTACTGTGTAGAAGTAGGACATGTCAGTCATTTTTCGACAACTCATTACATGTACAAGTTTCCCGAAACTATTGTGCTATTTCTCTCGTTGTAGCCGAAATGGGCATAACAAATGAACCAACTCCCAGAACACCCTGACGCAGTGGCGACGTTGGGCAAATGGTGCAGTGTCATAGCTGCTGCTGACAGTGCCTAGAACCTCACGTCTTTGTAGACGTGCTCCCGTTGCCTATGCTCCAGTCAACGCAAAGAATGGCAGAGTAACTCCAACTTGACCCGACTGATCACTTGTTCTGCACTACATGCCCGGTCTGTGAAGCAAGTACTTGATCATGTGGTTCTGCTTGTGGATCGCGGCATGACGGCACGTGATTTACCTGGGGATGGAGTGTCGCTTTCGGGACTCCACGCCCGACATGTAAGGCGCTGTACCCCTCAGGTGTCTGCAGATGTTTACATGTAATGCTGCATTGTAGTCACTTTTTTTCCTGATACGGAATTTTTATTATTAATTATGATTTCGGACAGCGCTTCTATTCACTTCATAATGGTAATAACGGACTCGGGACACATGCCTGTGTTTTGTGGGTCAACACTGATGACTACCATACCTGACCCAGGTTGGGACGTCCTTGGGCACACGGACGGTAAATTTATCAATACAGTCTTATTTAATAAGCTTGTCATTGTCATTATATTCTTATAACCGCTTACTGCGAAAAGAGTTTTCAAACTAGAAACGTTTATGATAGGTTGTTTCCCGTACACTTTGGTGTATTGACACAACCCAACACAGATCTATGTATGTCACAACAAGCTGCCAAAGATACCTACACATTTTTAAGCCACTTTTCCGTTTCTCAAGATACATTTAGATCTAGCAATAAATTTCACAAAGTCGACACTTGTAGAGTTCACACTGTATAATAAAGACGTGTTCTACTTGAACCTTTAGACTTGTCATTTGAATTATATTTTTGTTCACACAATCGGCAGAAGCAGAGGTGTATCCCAGACAGACAGACAGACAGATAATTTATTAAAGTCTCACCTCGTTTGCTACAAATACTAAAATATTTACAAGGTATAACAATATGAAGGTGTAGCACGAGCCACTCTAAGCAGAGTTATGAGAGACTTCTAAGGCTACATGACGGCGGGCTGTAAATACAGGAATCAAGACCAGTGAAATGTAATGGTGGATGACGCCAGAAAAATAGTGAGTGGGTATCCTCCCATAACGCAGAACTCCCAAAACGCAGAACCGCTAAAACAACAATTATTACGATTGATTGAACCACCTTTCTTAAACCTAATCCTTCAGTCATAGCAATGGCATATTCCAGTTTTAGTGAAAAGGACAACAAACAAGTACTTAGGTTTGAGTTTTTATACGTATAATTTTATAACAATATTTCATTCGACATTTGACAATTTTATAACAATAACAATTTATGACACTTCATAAATGAAAGCACCAATGCTAGCATGTATTTATGTTTAACATAGAAGGCTTTCACAAAAATCTTAATCTCAAAGTTCTCAGTTCATATGTTCTCAGTTTTCATTTCTTGAGTATCAAGCGGCGTAACGGACTGAAGGCAGGCGTCTGGTCAGTCCTTAGTTGCTCCTTCAGGCGCACAAGTCGGTTCTCTTTCTACCCTGTAGACAGCCTTTCGGGGTGGTGGGGCAGCTCTAAAGTTGATTTACATTACTTTTGCCTTCTCCGAAAGTTCAATCTTTTTAATAAGTTCGATGAATCTAAAGATGTTTGGGTGGCGGTGCTGGATCGACGTGTTGAGACGTGAATGAAATCCTTCTAGGTTGTTATTTGTTCTGGGCCCAACAATGGACTGATGATTCCATAGTCTCAGTAGAAAGCGGGGCTCATTTTCCACCCATGTAGAGACGATGTTATCATTCATCTCATCAGCTCGGGGACATGGTTGAACATCTGGAGAGCAGAAGAAGAAGAACTTCTCGTGAATCACAGGTAATGACATTTTCAACATACATGATACCGTAATATACTAATACAGACAGACCTTCTCTGATATATTTAGCTAGTTATATCATAAGTGGCTTGAAGGTACATTGCATTAGGAAAATACTTTTTTCTTGAGCTGGGTATTGACAGAAATATTGAGGTAACATGAGTTTTCGTAAGTAACAAAGACATAGGCCTTCTTACAGAAAGTGATATTCGCCGCCTACAGCTAAATTTCATAATGTGCAAGTTCTTTTAGCATGGTCAACTTTATGCCACCTCCCGGTTTCTACCGACATCTATGGTTAGATAGTGAACCATGCTCTTGGTTTATACGGCAGAAATAGTAGGTATGATTCTAATAGTGGCATTTGTTTGTACAATTTATAATATTGACCTTTTTGATGAATTATTGACAGGTGCATTCCACTGTTGGGGAAACTGCTCAATAAGGAAACATTCAGTGGACGATTTTAACCAACATTGATCTGGTACATGTTGGGAAGTCGGGACATAATATAATATATTCGATAGTGCTTATCAGCTTAAATGTATACATAGATGAGGCTTGAAGGTGATGCCGGAGGGAATATAACGTATATGACAAGCGACCAGGGTTTAGCAGCATTTTACTCCAGAATGAGATAATTCTAACTTTGACTTTCCCATTTCAAGTATGTATTGTCAGAGAATTTCTGCAGTCGCTTGGAGATAATTGCCCTGTTAAAAATACATGGAAGTCTAAGCAGCTAACAATAGAAATGCCTCTGTTCTTTTCAGGATCGATTTGGCTGCCCTTGTGTTTAAAGATAGGTGTCATATACCCACCAGACCAGGCTTGTTGGGGAAATCCAGGATCTAAGATAATCTCGTCTTCAGTAACAGGACAATCTAACATATCAACTGGCTGTGCATCTGTCACATCTACATGTACATTATCATTCATAATATTTTAATTTAGATTGCTAAAACGACTAAACAATGTTCTTTTGTAATAGGTTGTTTTTACATTTATTTTTACTAAATGATTTTATGATGCCCCAGAACTTTGGGGGGTCTTTACTTTTGGTTTCACGCAAATACTGGGTACATTGTTTTATACACATTATATTATATGCCGTCTTAATACTTTTACTGTAATGCTTACTTGCTTTTCTGGTTGGCCCTTACTTAATCCAAATATTTTCTTACTCAAGTCATTTTGTTCACGGACCGATTTACAAGTCCTATTAAACCATGCTGTATTTTTAGATTTCTTTCGAGGGGACGTCTTTTTAAGCCCAAAGGTATTTACATCAGCGGAGTAGGTAGTTGTAATTCTATTTACACAGTCCGTGTCATCTAGAGTGTCAGTAAGTTCACGTATCTCCTTGGCGATATCACTTCCAATATTTTGAAGAAAAATGTTCTCTTGTTTTCACCCCATGTGTGAACGTTGAGCATCGTTGTTGTCATCTTGTTCTGTATCGCTCATTTGTCCGTCAAATGTTAACTTGAATGACCGAGCACAGTGGATATCTGACATTATTCCATCAAGTCACAAACTTCAAAGTGTTTGATTTCTGTTGGCATGTCGACTGCTGCTGAACAATAGTCAACGACACTGGCATTCTTACACGTATGTTTGCCGATACCTTAAACACTTCCAATTCTACCATTGGCTATGTATACACCGTTATGTTTACATATGTCAATCAGTTTGTATCCGTAACATTTAGTAAATGTGTCAATAGATTGCCACTCGGTGTTGATGTTTACTTCTACCAGTGTTTGAATGTCAGAATAGATGAGGGATTCGTCAATCGTGTCATTGTCACAGGAGAAGTCATCCATAACAATATAATCGGAGAGGTTGTTTGTGCGAGCATTGAAGTCACCAGTTATGCAGATGTAGTTTGTGTCCTTAGGTAACTTCAGACAGGTCTTCGAAGTTTTAGTTTCAGTCAAACACAGAATGTCGTAGCTGGAGATATCAGAAATAAAGTCAAGGTTAAGCAGCGTTGTTCACAGACATTTAGAGATGAGACAGATAGTTGATTTGTTATCGGTTGATTAGCTGTATGCTCCGCGCCTTCCTATGCGGTGGATAAAAACACAGTTGCCGAGGTCGTCGGGGTCACCGTGGGCCTCTGGATCTCTACTAGTTTGGGATGGCGTCTCAGGACGTCGCTCTTTGAATCGAGGACAGGTCTTCCGTCTTCGTCCAGCCTATCATTGATGTAAAGTCTATCTACAGTTAGGTGAACATTATCTCATGCAGCAGCGCACTAGGTATAACCGTTTCCGTCTATCTGTTCATTTACATAGACGTGGATTTGAAAATTTTGCAAACATTGGTCTTGGCTTTCTAGCCCGAGGTCCTCCCATTCTATGCACCCTGTCAATTTCAATGCTACAGTCATGTTTCAGTTCATTCTTCAGACACTCACCCAGTTTCTTTTTCGTGTCATCCTCTGGATCTCCTTGAATCCCACAAAATATAAGATTATCCCTCGTTGATCTTGACTGAACATCAATAACATTTTCTCGTAGTGCACATAATTCTATCATTAACATGTCATTACCTGCCGTGCTTTTCTCTGATACAAGTGTCGATAGATCTGTGATCTTGTTGCTGTTACTACTAACCTTTTCCTGGATGTCTGTATACTGCTGTTCGTGAAATATCGCACTTTTCTCAAGGTTCACGACCGTCGTTCGGAGCTCTTTGATGTCAGTCTCCATTTCGTAAGTGCGCACACTGAGTAGGGTCTAATGCAGTTTCTATTTTGTCCAATTTAGAGAGTTATTTCTCCATGTTTCTTAACTTTGTGAACAACTCTTCAACCCAAGGTGAGGTGCTGTAGTTGGATGGAGAGGGGAATGGTACTGGTGTAGTCTCTTTTATTTCATCCAAATCGAGTTCTTTCTCTTTGGTAACTCGTTTCTTGGCATTATGTTCTTCAGGGGGTGGACTTTATTCACAAGTTCTCCTCTCACTTCGTTTCCTTTCCTGTGGGCATTCATTCATTTGATTATGCGCTTAACTGGGCGCTTGGGTTCATGGCATCTAACCAGGTATCTTGGACTTCGAGGCATCAGGGCTATCTGGGATAAGCTATCTGCTCTGATTTCATCAATATAAACTATGTGTGCATTTATTGACAGAAAAAGAGATACACCTCATAAGAGCTGAGGGATAAGCAATCTACTCTGACGTCATCTACTCTAGTTCTTGTTTCACTTCACATACAGGCTACTGAAGGTATCGTACGCCGTGGGTAATCCGGTGTAGTACTGGCCCCTAGTACCCAGTGCTATCTGTACCAGCCGACTAATGACAATACGTGCCGTTCCTTGCCATGCTATCAGCTATCTGAGCCTTACATAGAAGATATTGCATAGTTGTGGATTTCACTTGGGATTATTTTGAAAAGTAATTTCAAATCTTTCTATGTGTGAGGCTCAGAACTTATCAATCACCCCTCGCAGCTGGACAGTAGTATACCGCCAATAGCATGCACGGGGTAACGGAGGCATACGGTGTGTTGAGATATTATAGTCACATTCTTTCTACTGCCTTTATTATAGCATATGATTGGATTATATCATTGATTTGTGTTTGGTCATGTGTAAGTGTTGCTTTGTGTCATTTAATGTCATACAACAGTTTCAGTTGTATTAGTTGTGACGTAAGCTTTTGTAATGCTATGCTATTAAGGCAGTCATGCCATATGGGACTTCTATATATTGCGGTCCCATGAACTGTCTTCTAGCCATTTTGATTCAGAAGACACAGACGGATACAGAGGCAACTCTCAACTGTTTTACCTAGGGATTTATATGCTCTTTAGAAAAACTATACATGCATGATTTTGACGACACCGGACCCGGTCGTTTTTGTATGTAGAAAATTATTTTTCTTTCTTAAGTAATCATTATGTTTCGTTAAAGTTTCGCCACACGTGTTTGCACAGAGTTT